TGCAATGAGCCAAGAGCATTCCATTGCACTCCAGCCTGGGCAACAAGAGCAAGATACCATCTCAAAAAAAAAAAAAAAAAACCACATGGACTTTACACATGATTCTGTATAGACTATGGCAATACACATTAGCAGTTTATACATGCTAATTAGAACTACATGTTTATTCTGAAAAAGAAATGAATTGAATTTTCACAAGTGGTTTAATATTTAAGTAATTTCTATAAAATAAATTTATTATTTAAAAATTAACATAATTGGGGTTACCCCCTTTATGCTTAAAGTATTTATATCTGCTGTGAACATAGAACTTAGACGTATCACTAGATTTTTAAAGTCAGTTTAATATTTTGCATTATATTTGTTATGTTGGTATTTTTAACATGCATGATGCATGCTTATTAGTTTGTTTTATGAGTAGAGGCTTGATAAAGTAAAATTGCCTTCCTAGTTTTTTCTTCCTAATATTTCTAGCATGAGAAGCTGTCCCCTGCCCCCATGACAACAGCTTGCTTTTTCTAGCAAAATCTGAGACAAGAAAAAAAAATTCCTTTAGTCACTTTGGAAGAGTTTTGAAACCCTAGCTATTCAGAATTATGAATAGTTGTTTATTTTATAGTACCTATTCAAAGAGTCATTGAGCATCTTTGCATAAATTCTCTCTTACATTGCTGATATATAAAGCAGCATTGTGCCTGCCTAGAGGACAGCCCTTCCTACTACTTCTGCCCAAGTTCCTCAGAGCGCGCACACATGTATACGGAGTTCCCTTTAGGTTCAGTAAAATTGAGGTTGTATAACTTCAAGTGTTGTAAAGGGTGAGTTTTTTGTTTGTTTGTTTTTGAGACAATGTCTCGCTCTGTCTCCCAGGCTGGAGTGCAGTGGCACGATCTTGGCCCACTGCAACCTCCTCTTCCCAGGTTCAAGTGATTCTCCTGCCTCAACCTCCTGAATAGCTAGGATTACAGGCACTGCCACCATGCCTGGCTAATTTTTTGTATTTTTTTTAGTAGAGACAGGGTTTCCCCATGTTAGCCAGGTTGGTCTCAAGCTCCTGACCTTGTGATCTGCCTGCCTTGGCCTCCCAAAGTGCTGGGATTATAGACGTGAGCTACCACGCCTGGCCTAGTGTTTCTTCTTAATAACCAATGGGGCAACTGCATTTTACTAAGCCTATGTTGCCATTAATTAAATTGGTAAAATTATACAATTTTAAAAATAATTCTGTTATGATTGTCATTAATTAAATTGTATCATTTTAACAATTTAATTAATGTCAATCATAACAATTATTTTTTTAAAGTAATAGAGCCATCCATTCAGATCAATCTTGCACACTTTATTTTAATCCGTAATAAGGAGACTTGCACTAAGTGCTTTCTATACACAAACTTCTAAATGCCTAGATTTGGCATTTAGAATATAAAAGAGGGTCCTTATCCCTGAAGGTGTAGATGTATAAAAAGATAAGCATAATACTTGGAGGCACATGATGAATGCAAATAGATGTTGAGGGGATGAAGTTTTCTCAAGGTGTAGAATGATTTATTCATTCACCCACAGGTATGGCACACCTCGTATATTCCAGACATTGTCCTAAGTGCTGGGGGAACATGCTGATTAGACACAGAGGTTTTTGCTGTTGTAGAGCACTTCCATTCTAGTAGGGGAAGACATATGATAAGCAAATGCTCACTGTGATGTCATTAAGTGATAAGTATAATGAAGAAAAATAAAGTGGAGTAATGAGATAAAGAGAGACAAGGGTGGGGAAGAAGAAGCACTGTTTCAGATAGGTTTATCAGAAAAGATATCACTGGGAAGATGATATTTTAATGGAGAGCTGAATTGCATGAAGCATATGGATTTCATAGAATACATAGATTTCTGTGTTAGTCATGTTAAGTGTAAGGTGCTTATTAGCCAGCTAATGGGTGATATTGAGAAGACAATGAGCTATTCAAAACTTAAGTTCAAGGGAGAGGTCAAGGATGATGTAAACTTGGAGTCATCAGTATTATCAGTAGCATGTAAAGCCATGGGACTAGAAGAAATCTCTTAGGAGTGGGTATACATGGAATAAAGGGGTGCTGAAGACGGAATGTTGGGATACTCCAATATTTTCAGTCTGGAAGGAGGAGGCAAGCCAGCAAAGAAGACTGAGAGAGTGGACAGTGAGATCGAAAAATCAAGAGAGTGAGGCATCTTAGAGGAGAAAGTGTTTCAAGAAGGAGGAAGTAATCCCATGTATCAGATGCTGCCTGAAAGATCAAATGGGATGAGGACTAGGAGTTGACCACAGAATTTGAAAAGATTCAAATCATTGGCAACTTTGGTAAGAGTAGTTTTAGTGGAAAGGTGGATAGAATCTTAAGAGTGGGTTAAGGAAATAATGAGATATAGAGACTGCATAGAAAATTCTTTTGAGGCTGTTTGCTATAAGGGAGACACAGAAGTAGGGCAATAACTAGGGGTGACCTGTAGACATTTGTTTAGGTAAGAGAGGTGACAGTGTACTTGTATTTGATGGGAATGATTTAGTAGGGGACAGAAAAATTGTTGATACAAACACAAAGTCCTTGAACAGGCCAAAAGGGATGGGATCCGGGCACAAGTGGAGGGATGGGCCTTACGTAGGATCAGAGGCTGTTCATCCACCATGAAAGGAAGGCAGGCAGAATAGAGGGTACAGATACAAGTGATTTGGCAAATGAATTGGTGATAAGAGAACATGAAAAGTTCTCTTTGGAGAAGAGAGCTTATAAATTTGTTCTGTCAGAGAGTAGGAGAATGAGTTGGCTAGGAATGAGGCTGCTGAGTAATGCTGAAGCATGGGAGCAAATGCGTATGCAGGGGAATGCTGATAGTCTTGGATAGTGGAACCCAAGCTAGATCAGAGGGCAGGGAAAGTGGGAGGTAGGTGACGGAAATAAACAACATACTAAGGCAAAGTATCTAAAGGTCCCTCTGTAGACTATGAATGGTTGGAATGAGGAATGGCAGAGCAAATGAGCTTAACACTATTTTTAAAGAAGGTTATGGGCTGAGAGTAGGTTGCTTAAAGTCAGGATTTAGGAAGTATAAGTTTCCTGGTAATGGCACATCTCAAGTGCAGCTAAGGGAGTTGATGGTTGGGATGAGTGAAAGAAAAGATTATTAGAATTAGGATTTCAAGGAATCGAGAAAGCAGGGCTTTGGATGAGTTGTTTTTGTAGGAGTCACCAAGGATGACAATGGATGCTAATAGAGAAAAAGATGGTAAGCCAGGGGCTGAAATATTTAACAAGCAAGAGAAGAATGACAAGTTGGTAAAAGACTGCAATGATAAAGGGTAGGGTGTGAAATAGTCTGATGGCATGTGCTTCAAAGGGGCTAGGTCATAAAGCCACAGTGACCAGAGAGGATGGAAGGCTTGGACTAGGATACTTAGTGAGTTCTGCTACGTGCCAAGCCCTAGGCTCATGATGGATGTGGACCTGCCCTCATGAAGCATATAATCCAGTGGTCATAGAAACATGTAAATAAGTATACAACTACAAATGATGATAAGTGCTGGGAAGGAAATGGGTCATAAGGAAATATTAATAGTATGAGGAAATATATTTAGATTTTACTGTGGGGGCTGATTTCTCTGAGAAAGTGATAACTGAGCCAAGACCTGAGGGATGCATAAGCTAGGGGATCCATGAGACATGATCCCAGATAGATTCCAGGAATCAACACATCAGGGGTGGTTGAAGTGGGAGGAACACTGGTATATGAGACAGCATCTGGACCATGGTGAAGAAGGAAGGGCTGGGCAGAGGAGATGGCACAGTCACGGCAGTTTGGCTGAAGCAGAAATTTTGTATTGGAGATTAGAGAAGGGCTACTTAGGGAACGATCTACTATATTTCCTAAGCAATGAACTATGAAGGTTGAAAACACCTGAAGTTTTAGTGTTGAAATGAAGTATAAACATACTGCAAAGTTAATCCAACATATCATTTGTTTGAAACAGTATTGTGGTGTTCATGGTGATTAGACCATATTGTTACACAATCTAGATGCATTTTCATAGCTACATTGAGCATTTTTGCAGAAATAGAAAGTCAAATGCAGCATGCTTTCACTTATAAGCAGAAGCTAAATAATGTGTACCTATGGACCCAGAGGGTGGAGTGATAGACACTGGAGACTTGGAAAGGTAGGAGAGTGGGATGGTAAGAGGCAGATTGAGGGATGAGAAATTGCCTAATGGATACAGTGTACACTATTTGGGTGATGTTTACACTAAAAGCCCGAAGTTTACTACTATGATATTTAAAAAATTATTTTTTTTTAATTGAGTGCTTCTGGAACCAGATGTAAATTGAGAATCCAGAGCTGAATAGAACATGGCATGGCTCTGAGAAGCACTGTTGTGCCTGAAATCCACGGAGGATGAGGCAGAACCATGCATTTGTTTATCGCTGGGCCCCTTCCCCCTCAGCCACCTCGATTCCCAGGAAAAGGAATCAGAGGAACTATTCTCCCTCCATCTCTCTCCTTCATCAATTTCTGGTTGATACCTGAGATTGTTCTAACAGCTAACTTTCAGAATCAGAAGGTAGCAAAGACCATCTCTTATTAGACAAAAGCCAACCTGTCCCAGCAATCCTAGTGGCCACACCTGGGAGCCAAGAATACCAGGTGTCTAGTTCTCCCACTCTAACTCCTTACGTATGAAAAAGAGGGGAGAGCTGAGTTTCCAGTTCTCCCAGATGACCTATCTGGACGGACATGCCTTGAGTGTCAGAGGACCTTCCTCTCCACTTTCTCTCTCTCTCTTACCTTTCTTTCTCAGATCCTTGGCTGATGAGAGGCCATAAACACTTCTTCCTTCTCCAAGAGCAAGCCCTGGGAATTGTCTTTTAGGCCAAGTTACAAAATTGGGGAAGAAGAGCTAATAGGTATTTGCTCCTAAAAATAGTAGAGGGTTTGGTAGCAATTTGGCAGCCAAATCTTTGGCTATTTTTTAGATTTCTTCCTGAAGTCCAGGCTCCAAGAACAAGATGTCTGGAGAAGACCAACTTCTTTCTATAGCAACATGTGCAACCCCTGGGTCTCCTTGTTGGGCGTGAGTAACTTCATCTTGATCTCAATTGTTCTTGGGACAAAGTTCAGGTGGACACATATGTGATCTTGGGCTGAGGGGGAGGAAAGATGGAGGGCTTAATTAGAAGTAATGTGATGTAATTGCCTATTGTATTAGAATTTAGATGAGAGTACATATGGCAAGATTACATTTAATGAACGACTTATTTTAATCAATGATTTCCTTTTTAAATAATTGTCTATGATAACTTCTGGGTTACTAAATTTCTAGTACAATAAATTACCATACTTGCATTTTAATTTGTTTCTTATAGGGAGAAATGGGACAAAGAGATAAGATGGAATATCTATTTATTAATAGTTCGGATTAAAGAGTTACTTTCAGAGGGTGTCTGCCGAAATATCTGCTTAATAGAGGTTTTTAATTATTCATAAACTTCAATTATTCAGACTTTTATAGTGATCAGAAGTTGATGAGAGGGGCTGTTGGTGCTGAAGACCTTAGCCTTGTGGCTTGCTTACCATGTAGAAAGCCATTAGGTGATTTGCTCTTTCTACTCTGTTTTCACAGGCTGTTGGGTCCCTTCTCATCATGTTTGTGATACAGTGGGTGTATACTCTGGTTAACATGGGTGTTGCTGCCATTGTGTATTTCTACATTGGCCGGGCCAGTCCAGGGCTTCACCTTGGTAAGCAGCAGAGCCATTTTGCCACTGGTTCCCTCATTCCCTTCACAATTCATTGGGATAAAAAAATGTTTTGAATACCAATTGAATGCCAACACTGATTCAGACATGAATCCCATTTTCAAGTAGCTTATAGTCTAGGAGAACTGTGATAAGCACATGAATTATTATAAATGAAAAATAATAACAGTGTGAGGTTTATAAGACATGTAGAAGTAAAGTGGATAACAATAGTACAAGAGCTAGGAAGAATGAAATGAAACTATACTATGGTGAGTTTCTTATGCTTTGTTCAATACTATAACATCACTTGAAGATACATTGTGGTAAGCTTAAAATGTATACTATAAACCCTAAAGCAACCTAAGATAACACAGTTACAGTTAAGCCAATAAAGGAGATAAAAAGTACTCAATCAAAATAAGGCAGAAAAGGAAGAAAAAGATAATATACGACAAATGACGCAAGCAAAAAACAAATAACAAGATGGTTTATGTATGTGTAATCCAAGCCATATCAATAATCATACTAAATATGGATGGCCTAAACACCCTAATTGAATGCCAAAGATTGTCAGATTGAATGAAAAAGCATGACACAACTATATGCTGCAAGAATCCTCCTTTAAATACAAGGACACAACCATGTTAAAAGTAAAAGGATGGAAAAAGATACATCAGGCTAACACTAGTGAAAAACAAAGCCAGAGTAGCTATATTAACATTAGGCAAAGTAGAGTTTGTAGAAAAGAATATTACAGGGATAAAGAGGATCATTTCATAAAGCTGAAGGGAAAAACCCATAAGGAAGGCATAATAAGCCTTAACATTTATGCACTGAAAAACACAACTTTGAAATAAGCAAAACAAACCCTGATAGAACTACAAGAAAAAGTTGACAACCATAGTCAGAGATTTCAATACCTCTTTCCTAATAATTGGTAAAACAAATAAGTATACAATCAGTAAGGCTATAGAAGATTTGAATAATTCTATCAACAAACCTGGAGTAATTGACAGAACATTCTACCCAGTAACAGCAGAATATACATTCTTTTCAATTATACGTGAAACATTTACCAGTAGAGACTATATTCTAGGACATAAAAAATATTTCAATAAATTTAAAAGTATTCAAAGTCAATTCAAGAACCGAGTATGTTCTCTGACCAAATCGGGAGTAATTAGAAATAAATAGTAGAAAGATATCAGAAAACCCTTGAATATGCCAGGCACAGTTGGCACACACCTATTGTCCCAGCTACTTGGGAGGCTAAGGCAGGAGAATTGCCTGAGACCAGGAGTGTGAGGCTAGCCTTGGCAAAATAACAAGACTCTGTCTCCTAAATAAAAAATGTAAAAAAAAAAATCCCCAAATATTTAGAAACTAAAGAATATTACCTAACCCTAATTAAAATTCAGAAAAGAAATAATCCATGATTCAAAGAAGAAAGCAGAGTGAAATTACAAGTATTTTGAACTGAATCAAAGTGAAAATGCAACACAGCAAAACTGTGGGATATAGCTAAGGGAAATTTATAGCATCAAATGCTTACATTAGAAAAGAAGAGCATTCACAAATCAATGATCCCAACATCCAACTTAAGAAACTAGAAAAAGAAGAGCAAATTAAACCCAAAGTAAGAAGGAAAAAAAAGGAAATAATAAATCAGAGTAGATCAGTGTAGAAATTAATAAAATGTAAAACAGAAAAAAAGTTAGAGAATACAAATGAAGCAAAAAACTGATTATGTGAGATCAGTAAAATTGATAAACCTGTAGCCAGAGTGACCAGAATAAAAGAAGAAGCACAAATTACCAAAACCAGAAATGAGTGAGATGACATCATTAAAAATCTTAAAGATATTAAAAGTGAAATAAAGGAATAATGTAAACAGGTTTCTCTTGATCAATTGAAAACTTAGATGAATTGGACAAATTTCTTGAAAAATACAAACTACCAAATCTCACTCAAGAAGAAATAGATACAGGACTATTCAGCTCATCTATTAAATAAATTAAACTGGTCATTGAAAACCTTCCCAGAGAGAAAAGCCTAGGTCCAGATAGCTTTACTGATAAATTCAACCAAATCTTTAAGAAAGAAAAAATACTAACTCTATACAAACTCTTTGGAAAACTATACACTAACATACCTCATGAATATAGATGCAAAAATTCTTTAAAAAATTTAACAAATTAATGGCAATAATATGTAAAAATAATAATATACAATGGTAAAGTGGGTTTATTACAGGAATGCAAGGTTCATTTAGCATTTGAAGTTAATCAATGTAATTCACTATGTTTACAGATGAGAAGGCATTTCTGAAAAAAATTAAAGAGTAAATTAAATAAATGAAGAGATATACTATGTTCATGAATTGGAAGACTTAATATTCTTAAATTTCCAATTATCCACAATTTTTTTATAGATTTAATATAATCCCAGTCAAAATCTCAGCTGCCTTTTTATAGAAACTGCCAATCAGATTCTAAAATATTTATATGGAAATGCAAAGGACCTAATAGCCCAACTAATTTTGTAAAACAAGAATAAAGTTGTAAAACTTGAACTTCCTGATTTCAAGACTGATTTTAAAGCTAAAGTCATCAAGACAGTGTGGGTATGGAAAAGCTAGACAAGTGAATCAATGGACAGAGTAGAGGATTTGGAAACTGACCCACACACATATGGCCAACTGCTTTTTGAAAAAGTTTCAAAGATAATTCAGTGGAAGGAAAAAATAGTCTTTCAACAAATGGCACTGAAACAACCACAAAGCCAAAAGCAGAAAGTAGATTTCCACCCATATATCATACCATATAAATATATAACTCAAAATGGATATTAGAACTAAATGTGAAGCCTAAACCTATACAATTTCTAGAAGAAAACGTAAGAGAAAACCTTTGTGACTGTGAGTTAGCAAAGATTTCTTAAATACAATAAAAGCATGAAAAAATTTATAAATTGGACTTTATCAAAATTAAGGACTTCTGATCATCAAAAAATGCTGGTAAGGCTGGGTTTAATTTATAATGATAGCAGATCAGTGGATACTTTTGGGTGGGAGTGAAGTAAGGGTACATGGGAGAGAGATATAATGAAATGGCTTGAGGAAACTTTGGGAGGTGCTAGACATGTTCATTATCTTGCTTGTGTGATGATTTCACAGTGTATATATGGTTAGATGTGTGTATAGCACAGATGCAGACCAAATAGTATACTTTAAATACAGATACTCCTTGACTTAATGGTGGGAGTATGTCCTGATAAACCAGTCATAAAGAATCATTGTAAGTTATGTTCTTTACATGCAGTTTGTCTTTACATGCAGTTTCTTCTGCATATGTACCCAGGATTTGTTTTAATCGGGTGTGGTAAAACATATACAGACATGGAAACGACTATCATGAAGGAGGAAGGTCATTAGAAACAGGTTTGGCATGCCATGCAGGGCCATATGGGAATGGACCAGGGTTAGTCATGGGGCAGAAGAGGAAGAGGGGAGACCATGGCCTAGAGCCTTTTTGGGTTTTTTTGTGGAAAGGAATGAGCAAGGCAGGGCAGGTACACTAAATGAGGTTAGGACTGAATAATTCGAGTGATTTCAGCAGGCTCTGGGATATAGGGATGGTCTATAGTTGTCTGGTCTTGGTGTGATTTAGGACAGGGGGAGTACTGGCTTGGTGTGTGAGATTTGATAAAGAACTAAATTAAGGGTGGGCCCTGGATTGGTTGGTTTGTATATCAAAAGCCCACTTACAGGGGAATTGTTTGCTATTCAGTATCTAGGAATTAGCTAGACCCTCCAGGATGAAGGGCCAAAATTTAAGAGCATCCAGAATATAGAAAACAAGAAAATATAGTCAACATACAGTTTATTACATATCAATTATTCCTCAATAATAAAGCTGTTTAAAAATACGTTAAGAGAACCCTTTTCAGCAAAATTTTATGATGCCCCAATTTAAAATAAAGCAATTTGTTACCACTACTAACTAAATCAGATGGCCCATAACTATCTAGGCAAATTAAAAAAAAAAAAAGTTCTTCCGAATGATGCATTTCAAACATTTTAAGTCATTTGTATATTTAAAAAAGTAATTTAGAAAAAACAGTAATGTTAAGAGGAGGTCCTTATGTTAGTTGACTTCATGGATAGAATATATTTTGTATTTTAATTATATTAATATATAATATATTTTAATTAACAGTGATTACTTCAGTGATTGCTTCTGTGTTTCTTAAAAAGTTTCCTAAGAAATTTAAATCTAAATATTTAAATATTTTCTAGAAATCTATTCATAAGAAAACATGAAATCAAATTTCAGGCCAATGTCCATCAAATTTAAATTATTTAGAATTTAAATAATCACACTTAAGTAGGGTCAGTTAATAAAATGTTTGTTTATGTTCTTCCTTCTGACAATCTCAAAATACATTAGAAATCTTCTCTTTGCAATTGCAGATATTAATGCAAATCTAAAATTTACCTTCTCTTTAGCAATAAAGACCTAAATGGCATTGAGGAAACTGGTTATCAGCTGCATGCTGTTGATAGTTGTGGAGATTCTAACAGAAGCCTCTTAAAATAATGCTATTTTCCTGATCATATATTGAACATTATCTAATTAATCAATTTTTAATCATATGTCTATATAATTTAACAAAGCATTTTCTTTTTTTTGAGACAGTCTCACTCTGTCATCCAGGCTGGAGTGCAGTGGTGTGATCTCAGCTCACTGCAGCCTCTGCCTCCTGGGTTCAAGCAATTCTCCTGCCTCAGCCTCCCAAGTATCTGGGACTACAGGTGTATGCCACCACGCCTGGCAATTTTTGTATTTTTAGCAGAGATAGGGTTTCACCATGTTGGCCAGGATGCTCTCTATCTCCCGACCTTGTGATCTGCCTGCACTGGCCTCCCAAAGTGCTAGGATTACAGACATGAACCACCATACCCAGCCTAGAAAAGCATTTTCTAAAATCACATTTGATTTGTTTCTCTAAAGTTATATATAATTTACTATGTGAATTTTTTTAAACCTACACCAAAAGAGGGATGGATTTTTTTAAATTGATAAACCCTATTCAAATAATGTGTTTGATGTCAGGATTATTTGGCTAGAATCAACAACAATGTCACTTCAAACCTCAGCTCTAACATTTCTACATATGGAACTATTTGATTCACTTAACATCTGTTAAAAAAATTCCTAAGTGCCAGATCCTGTGAGGTACTGTGAGGATTATAGGGATGAAAAAGACATGTTCTCTATTCTCAACAACTGTATGGTCTAGTAGAAAATTTTTATAGGGTGTATTCAACACTTATGAGTATGAGTCTTAAAAAAATTATCAAAATTTTTTAATTCCTAAGACTAAAGTTAGCAACTCTGCATTTTTCTTTAGAGCACTTTGTCCAGTTTTTTGGGAGTGATTTTGGAGTTTAGAAATGCATTTTTGAAAGACTCACATGAGTAAAAGTCCTTAGTAGGCTGCTGTCATGGAGGATTACAGTGCATATTGTTTGGTTAGACTGAAAAAGGCAAACGTAAGTGTGAATCCTGTGCATGTGTATGTACTGGGGTATGCATTCACCCTATTAAAACTGAGCTTCTAGATGCATATATAGAACCTTCAAAAATGGTTATGTGTATGTCTTCTTTGCAGGATCAGCCTCCAATTTCAGCTTTTTCCGGTGGATGAGGTCTCTCTTGATCCCCTCCTGCAGGTCTGTACCAGAATGGATGAGTGTCCAGAGTCCTGGGAGATGCCCAGGGTGTCTCATTCCTGGCTGGGCTTGGGCCTGGATTGTGGCATGGGAACCTCTGGGAGACTCAGATGTTGCTCCCATCCATACTCCACCACACTCAGCCCCCAGATTCAGCTCATCAGAAGCTTCCCTTAGGCTCATGTCCTCTTTCCTTCTTATCCTCAGTCATCAAGAACAGAGGCTTTATTTAGAATCTGGTTGCTGGGGTGGTAAGTCACTACTCTCCTCTCAGTCAGTTTACAGTCCAAGACACATTAGCATCAATGCATAATCACACACAAGATTAAAGCCCAAGGGAAATGTCACGCCAAGATGCACATTTTTCCATCTGAATCAGAAGTAGTTGACATTCCTGGGTTGGAGACAGTGCAGAGGCCAAGTATAGAAAGAAAGTGGAGATCCTGAAGGATTTCTGTGGAACCTCCATGGTCAGTTATACAGGAAAAAGGAAAAAAACCCTCCTGAGAAATAGAAGCCTCATAGAGAAGGTATATTACATACGTGTCCTAATCTCACTCCTCCTCCTCCACTCCTGCAGTACCAATGCTTCTTATCTTTTAAGGCTTGGGATTCTGGGGCATTATACCCACCCTTCTGTCCCCTTTCAATATCAGTGAGGAGCTAGAGCTGCAGGCTAGGGAAATCCAGGCAGAACCCAATCGAATGTTCATTTGGTTACATTTTGTTGGTTTGTTTTTGAAATTTTAGATGTCTAGGCTTTACTTGCTAATATTTCCACCCTCGATGTCCAAACATTGCTAGCAGATCATGGGATCCTTTCCCATTGAGCCCAGAGGTAACTTCATAATGCTTTTCCCCCACTCATTTAAAAAATAATGGTAAAATAGGGCTGGGTGCAGTGGCTCATGCCTGTAATCCCAGCACTTTGGGAGGCAGGAAGATCACCTGATGTCAGGAGTTAAAGACCAGCCTGGCCAACATGGTGAAACCCCATCTCTACTAAAAATACAAAATTAGCCGGGCATGGTGGCATGCCTATAATCCCAGCTTCTAGGGAGGCAGAAGCAGAAGAATTGTTTGAATCCGGGAGGTGGAGGTTGCAATAAGCCGAGATCGTGCCACTGCACTCCAGCTAGTTGGCAAAATAACACTGTCTCAAAAAAAAAAAAAAAAGGTAAAATACGTGTAACATGAGATGTACTGTTTAACCGTGTTTATGTGCAGTGTGCAGTTCAGTGGCATTAAGGACATTCACATTGCTGTGCTACCATCACCATACCCATTAAATACTAACTCTCCATTCCAAGAATCCTTTTTAAGATGACTCTTCACAAACACTGACAATCTATTTAAGATGGCACAAGAGATAAAGCCTTCATGCTGGAGCTTGGAATGACAAGAATCAGCAGCAAGGGCTGTAGAAACCAACAGGGTTAGGGCCCAGGGCTGGAGGCTGGGGTGCATGGGGAGCACCCTGTCATTGCTTGGGCCAGCTGGGCTCAATGTCCCATGTGGAGCTGCAGGGAGGGTGAGTGATCTCTCTGCTTCTTGTCCTGTCTGACGCACAAGGTTGGGTGACCCAGGTCATAACACATCTACACTGATCTCTTCTGCCCTACAACCCAGTCCTGAGAAACAGTAGAATTTAAATGGAAATAGATTCTGTGTAAAAGCTGTCTACAGATTCTGGAGCTGCAAGTGGTGTGTGGGTGAGACTATTTTGCTTTGCCTGATTTACAAGAATATTTTTAGTCATTTCTGGTTTTAAAGCCTAACAATGCCATAGGAGGTCACCACTTCTTATGTCACACTCTGAATTCCTGGGATTTCAGCTTGGAGGTCACAGCAGTGCTATGTAGAAAGAAGAATGTACTAGGGGGAGATTATTCTTAGAAAAGGACAGTACTTTTATTGGAGTAGAATCAGTCCACACCATTCATAACACAAACACCAGGATCTGTGGGCTATGAGGTGGGTGGCAGAGGCCTCAGTTAAGTCAACATCAAACTTCTTGGCCTCACCATGGCTGCTGGGTGATACATGGAATGGTTATTCAGGAAATTGAAAGAACCAAGAAAGGCCAGGCACAGTGGCTCATGCCTGTAATCCCAGTACTTTGAGAAGCTGAGGTGGATGGATCACCTGAGGTCAGGAGTTTGAGACCATCCTGGCCAACATAGCAAAACCCCATTTCTATTAAAATACAAAAATTAGCCTAGCATGGTGACAGGTGCCTATAGTCCCAGCTACTGTGGAGGCTGAGGCAGGAGAATCACTTGAGCCCGGGAGGTGGAGATTGCAGTGAGCTGAGATTATGCCACTGCACTCCAGCCTGAGCAATAGAATAAGGCCCTGTCTCAAAACAAGCAAACAAAAAAACAATAATAGAGATTGGCCAGATGCACTGGTTCATACCTGTAATCCCAGCAGTTAGGGAGGCTGAGGCAAGCTGATCACTTAGGCCAAGAGTTCAAGACCAGCCTCAGCAACGTGGCAAAACACCATCTCTACTAAAAATACAAAATTAGTCGGGTGTGGTGGTGCCCACCTGTAGTCCCAGCTACTTGGAAGGCTGAGGTTTGAGAATTGCTTGAACCTGGGAGGCAGAGGTTGCAGTGAGCTGAAATCAACCACTGTACTCCAGCTTGGGTGACAGAGCGAGACTCTGTCTCAAAAAATAAAATAAAAATAGAGATTGGTAGCTGTGTTTCTACTTTGTAATTTTGAGTTCCCTTCCCAATCCCAAACTATAACCCCCAAATGCTCTTCAAAACCAAAAAAGAAGAATGTAGAGTGTGTTTTGGCAGAAGAATTTGGCTAGGTTACTTGCTGTGTTATGCCTACAATTCCCATGAACTATGTGAAGTTGAACCTGTCATTGAGAAGGCGTTCTTTATTGAAGCACTAGCCACTGTCCAAATGAGGATGTGTAAGCCAATCTAGACTAGAGAGTAAAGTATATTATTTCTACAGACTCAGAAGAATGTAATGGTTTCACCTAAAAAAAATCAAAATAAAACATTAGCAAAAACACTTACATGTTGACTGGTATGGCATTTGTGTCACCTCCTAACCTTTTTGGAGATTCAGCCTTTATAGAAGTTAATTAAGTTCTCAAGAACCCTCAGAGACCTATATAATTTATACATGTTCTCAGCAAGTGGCTGTAATGCCATAGTCATGTGATCTAAACTTCTATAGCAGGACGTTTGGCCAGAGTCCATTGAAACGTTCTGTTTAAGTTCCACAGATCTATAATATTAGATTTCTGCCTTTTCACGACTCTCAAATATAGTCCATATTCAAATAATTGCACCTTGCTACTCATAAAGTAGATGATTCTTTTAGAATAAGAATTTTCAGAGGAAATCCATGCCTAAGGTATGACTTAAGGAGCTAACACAGACTGTAGGAACTGGAAGAGACCCGGGAAGATGAGAAAATAGAGACCCAAGGAGGTAAAGAGGCTTCCGGAGGCCACCAAGTTGATTAGCGACAGAGCTGTGACTGGATCTGCCTTCTGCCGCTGCCTGGATAGCCAGCCTGAGCTTTCCTCACTCCTTTCTTCCTCTTAGCACTTTCCCCACGCATCCCTAACATTTTTCTTTCCCAGTTTATCCCACCCCAAACTGTATGCAGAGACTCCAGTGACAGTGGGATCTATATGGGACTTGCTCTTCATTTGAGGCCACCTTGGTGTCAAAAGCCTTTGCTGTCCCTCTTCGCTGCTTGCTGTGTGAGGCTTAGCTCTTGAAATCATTCATCCTTATTCAATTTTCTTTTCAATAAATCTACGAGAAGGTTTCTCTTTCCACTCTTCTCAATTTTCCAGCCTCTCCATTCCATTATTTTTCATTTGACAAGAACAAAGAGAAGCTACAGAGCCCCAACATGACGCCATTTGGAAAGCAGCACCTCTCTTTATCAGTTATTTCCTGTCAGGTAGGTACAGCTTCATACTTTTCTACCTAGGGTAAATATCACACTCTCTCTGTCTTTATTGTATGTGATACTTTGTATTTCTCATGTCTTGAGTTCATATATATTCTTGTACATATACCTTTCAACAATTATGTTTTAAACATTTAAATACATGTGTGTCTGCAAATAATTTCTCTATGCCTGATAGGCTCACCTTCATGTTCAGTCTCTGTTCTGTCCTTCTCACCATCCTCTGTGTGTCTCTCACGGCAGGAGCTTGCAGTCCCCTCGGGAGCAGATCATCTTGGCACCATCCCTGGCTAAGGTTGACATGGAGATGACTCAGCTCACCCAGGAGAACGCAGACTTTGCCACTCGGGATCGCTACCATCACTCCTTCCTCATGAGTCGGGAGCAGCTGATGCCTCATTACTAGATGCAGTACAGGGAGCTGTCCCATGCACAGTGGACCCAATCCCAGAACCTTCGTGGGGCTGCTTCTCCTCCATGAGAAACTAAAGACCCATCCTCTCGCTGTCACTTTGGACAATGGAAATCTACATTTTCTTAGAACATAAGGAAGAAGGAAAAAGACAAAAAAGGAAATCTGCATTCTGCTCAGAGGACCACATTTCACCTGGGGTGACATCAGGAATGGTGCTGGCCTCTGCAATATCAAGTCTGAAGAGCTCTACACAGGTACCAAGCCTAGCAGAGGACACCAGTACTCCTGGGTATGGGGAACTGGAACTGAACCACAACCAGATTGCTTGTGCAGAGGGCCACAATGAATGTATGTTTTATATTTTATTGTATTATTTATTCAGGGATAATACAATAGTACGAAAAATGTATTATTTCTTGAATAAATAATACATTCACATGTTTCCAAATCCAAACGTTATAATCATATATAGAGTGAAAAGTCTCCCTCCAATCTTATTCCCCACCTGCTCAGTTCCTGTTTACCCTGGCCCAGAGGTAGCCACTGTTCGCATCCATACATCCAGCATTTCTTTATGAATATACAAGTAAACGGGAATGGAGGGTCTCACATTCTCTTTTTATACACAAAAGTTAGCATGTTATATGCATGTTCTTCACCTTTTTTCCCTTAACTGTCTGGGAGACATTTCCATATCAATTCATATGCCATTTCATTTTTTTCATTGTATAAATGTGTTATAATTTATTTCACCAGTTCCACAGTGATGAGCATTTGGATTCTTTCCAGTCTTTTGCAATGACAATCAGTTCTTCAGTGAATAATCTTGTACAAATGTACAAGCATAAAATGTATCTCTAGGATAAATTCCCAAAAGTGGAGTTGCGGGATCAAAAGGTACATGCATTTGTAAACTATTACTGTTTAGTGATGATCTTTTTAATTAAAAAGTTAACATGAATTGCCTAATCATGATGCATGTTCTCAAAAGAATTTGTGGTCCCCAACTCCTGGAATGCCTTTGCAACTGTTTGCAGCATGAAAGGCATGAGGGGACAAGACTCTTTTGATTTCTGTGTGGGCTCTGCCTGGCATTCATCACAAGCACCCAGTACCAGGGGCCATGGCAGTAGCTTTCCCCAGAGAAGTTTAGCACTTGGCCCAGGGTCAGAGGCTTCGCCATCAAGCCACAGGGAGAAGTACTGTTGGGCCACTTCTGACTCCTTCTATAGTGGAGATTCTTGAGAGTCGGTGTGCTAACAGTCACTTGGGATGCTTGTCAAAAGTGCAGATTTCAGGCCAGGCACGGTGGCTCATGCCTGTAATCCCAGCACTTTGGGAGGCTGAGGCAGGAGGATCACCTGAGGTCAGGAGTTGGAGACCAGACTGGCCAACATGGTGAAACCCCATCTCTACTAAAAATACAAAAAATTAGCTGAGTGTGGTGGCAGGTGCCTGTAATCCCAGCTACTTGGGAGGCTGAGGCAGAAGAGTCACTTGAACCTGGGAGGTGGAGGCTGCAGCGAGCTGAGGTCGTGCCACTGCACTCCAGCCTGTGCTAAACTCCATCTCAAAAAAAAAAATAATAATAATGTGCAGATTTCTGTACCTCACCCAGACTGAGCAAAACTCTGTCTCAAAAAAAAAAAAATGTGCAGATTTCTGCACCTCAACCCTAAACTTTTTATTTGGCAAGTCTGGGATGGAGTCATTTACATCTTTAACAAGTGCCTCAGGTGATTCAATGCAGGCAGTCCTTGGACCACATTTTGAGACACACTGAGCTGTTTGGAAAGTGCTTAGCATGGGTGAGGGCTGGGAGGTCAGGATGAAGGGTCAGCTAGATCTTAATGTTCTCTCCTGGAAGATGGGGTTTTATTTATAACTGCTGTTCTTACAGTCTAACTTTGGTTAACTACCAGATTTCTGAGCATCATTAGAAAGCAGAGTCTGAGTTGGCAGTAGGCATATAGGAAGGAGAAATGCTGAAAAAGGCAGACTGTAGCCATGAAGGGCTGAGTTGGGTGACCTTAGAAGGCCTTTTTCTTTGTTTTTGAGACAGGATCTCATTCTGTTGCCCAGACTGGGGTGCAGTGGCATGATCATAGCTCACTGCAGCTGCAACCTCCTAGGCTCAAGCAATCCTCCCACTTCAGCCTCCTAAGTAGCTGGGACTACAGGTGCACACCACCATACCTAGCTAATTTTTTTGGTATATTACCCAGGCCCTTTTTAAGAAGAAGCTGTTCTGGTTTCCTGTGGCTACTATACCAAATTACACAAATTTGGTGGCTTAAAAACAATACAAACGTATTCTCTCACAATTCTGGAGGCCAGATGTCTGAAATCAGTAACACTGCACTGAAATCAAAGTGTCAGCAGGGCCAAGCTCCCTTCAGAGGCTCCATGGGGGATTTATTCCCTGCCTCTTCTGGCTTCTGGTGGCTTGTGATCACATCACCAAAATCTTCAAGGCCAACATTTTCAAATCTCTCTGTTCTATCTTCATATCACCCTCTCCTCTGTGTATATGAAGTCTACCTCTGTCTCCTTCCTGTAAGGATACATGTAATTGCATTCAGAGACCACCCAGATAATCCAGCATCATCTGCACATATCAGGACCTGTACTTCAATCACATCTGCAAAGGCTTTGCCAAATGAGGAAACATTCACAGTTTTCAGGGAATAGGACGTGGGTCTTTTGGAGGGCCCTTTTCAGCCTACTGCAGGGCCTTTACTGAATCTGCTTTTTTGAATTGTACATAACAAGCTAAAAAAGTAACCACCCTGTTTAAGCCCTTTAGGGGTCCTCACTGCCTCCCCATTGACAGATTAGGTATGGACATGATCCAGCCTTGCCTGAGAGCACCTGAGATGGGGGTCTCAGGGCTTCCAGAGATAGTTGCCCTTTTTCATAATATTGTTGGCCCCACACATGATGTCTGTATGAGACCCAACGAGTTTCCAACCCTTCTATTCCAGGACTTGCCTGCCTTACACTGCCCTGGATTGTGTGACAAAGAGTTTAAGCCACTTCAGTCCTGGGGTTTCTGTTCATTGCATGGGATGGATTGAGAACAGCATCAGACACTGCCGGCCTTAAGCAGCTAGTGCAGGAGCCACTCGGGCTCCCAAGGCATGTGCTTCTGTTGGTGCTTTGTCACAGCCATTTACTGGTGATAGTTTAATAGACAAGGGAAAGCTTTTTTGGGAAGTCCTGACTTTGCTTCAGGGGACAGCAGAATGGTAGGGAACAGGTCAAAATTCAGGTGTGGTCTCATTTGCATTGTTGCCCAAGAGCTTCTTTGAAACAGTACAGAGTTCTGTGGGCCAAATCTTGTGGCCTAGATATCAGGACTACATGTTGAACCGAGAGCTCAGCCTGAGGGACTGTAGTTGTTGTGACAGCCTCCAGTTGTAGTTCCTGGAACAGCAGGAATTAGGTCTCTTGTTTATGCAGAGGATGTCCCACACTCCTCAGCAGTGTTGAGAAGAGGCTGTCTCCAGGACCTGCCCAGGACACTGGTCTTGAACATCTAGAAACCGGTAATTAGATGTCACTGACTGTAGGATACAAGTGGAATGATATTCTACTAGGAAAGAAGCATTTCTAAAAAAAAAAAATCACAAAAATGCAAACTAGTAACTGTGATAAATGCTTTAAGGTGACTTTTGTGATGATGTCCATCAAGACTAAGCTTGATTTTCTCTCCATTTCAAGACCTCTGGGTTGGTCCTCAAATCTGTGTCCTGAGGGCTCAAGGTAATCACAGCAATCGGCCCTGACTTTTGAGTGGATGGATCCTTGTCTGCTCCTTTCCATTTGTGCTGTTATGACTAATCTTCTTTTTTTTCCTTTGAGATATGGTCTCACTCTGTCACCCATGCTGGAGTACAGTGGTGCAATCACAGCTCACTGCAGCATCAACCTCCTGGGCTCCAACCATTCTCCCACCTCAGCCTCCCAAGTAGCTAGGAGTGTACCATCATACCCAGCTAATCTTTGTAATTTTTGTAGAGAGGGGATTTTGCCATGTTGCCAGGCTGGTCTTGAATTTCTGAGCTCAAGCAATCCTCTTGCCTTGGCCTCCCAAAGTGCTGGGATTACAGGTATGAGCCATCCCATTTGGCCATGACTAATCTTAATTATCTATTTCCACTCATGGTCACTGAGTGAACCTGGAGGCTGAGGGCCCGAAGACCAACTGGAATTACTGTAGCGCCAAATACATCCCCTTTCATGTTGACACCACCCTGGACAAGGTATCATTCCTGTGTGGCAGCCAGAGAGACCTTTTCAAAAAGAAGCTGGAGCTCTAGTACTGTGGTTGCCAGTTGTCTTCAGATCCTGGCCTGTCCTGCTCCCAGGGCCCATCTCTGCCCAGGACTGCCTGGGAGTCCAGCTCCAGTCCAGTCCAGAGGTGACAAGCAATGTTAATGTAGCTTTATGTAAAATAACCAGAAAGCAGAAATGACCCAACCCTCCACTGAAGAGGATGGATCAACATCCTGTTGCATCCACACAATGGAATCCTAGTGAGTATTGAAGTACTGACACAGGAAATCATGTAGCTGAATTTTAAAGCATTGGGTAAGTAAAGGAAGCCAGGCACAAAAGATGAAATACTTGAAGTTTTATTTGCTTGACCTCCAGGAAAGGCAGTAGCACAGTGGCAGAAAGCTGGGTCTGGGTTTGGGAGCAGATGGATTGCCAAGGGCATGATGCAACTTTTTGTGGTGGGGAAATTATTCCTTTTTTTCTTTTTAGATGGAGTCTCAGTCTGTCAGGCAGGCTGGAGTGCAGTGGTGCAATCTCGGCTCACTGCAACCTCTGCCTCCTGGGTTCAAATGATTTTCCTTCCTCAGCCTCCTGAGTAGCTGGAATTACAGGCATGCACCACCACAGCCAGCTAATCTTTGTATTTTTAGAGGAAACAGGGTTTCTCCATGTTGGCCAGGCTGGTCTCGAACTCCTGATCTCAAGTGATTCTCCTGCCTCGGCTTCCCAAAGTGCTGGAATTATAGGCGTGAGCCACCACACCCGGCCAGGGAAATAATTCTGTAAATTGATTTTGGTGGTGGTTTTATGATTATATCCACTTATGAAACTCATTGAATTATACATTTAGGAAAGTAACCACTCTGAAAAGGATAGTAGTTTCAAAACCATCAGTTTGAAAAAGATGGTACCAAGGTTAAAAACCACATGCAGCAGAATATTCAAGTATCCAGGAACAGCACCCTCCTAATGTGATTGATTTTACTGAAAAGAATAAGGGAAGAATGGAGCTTGCTAAAGAATTCAAACGTTATTTTCCACCCTAGGGACACCAAAATGAATGGCTCAGTCTAGTGTAGGAGGCAGGTGTTACACAGGCTGACTTTCTAATGAGGTCCAAAAATCTTGTATTTCACTCCAGTTAGATTGTGAAAATAGTAATAGTAACCAGGTCTTAGCCTGGATTTCCCAGAAAGTGGAAGCTTATGAGCTACCTCTTGATTGAAGAGTGCAGCCAGGGAAGCAGGATGAGAGGAAAGAGGGGTAGAGCAGAGAAGGAGGGCTAGCAGCAACCACTTAGTATCACATGCAAATGATGCTTCACCTCGAAGCATCATCCCTTCCTACCCCTAGGGTTCCTGTGGTTTCTGCTGAGAAACCACAGGAACCCTAGGGGTAGGAAGGGATCAGAATTCATCTACTGGCTTCTGCTTCCCATAACCAAAAGTTAGCTCTGCGCGGGTACCAGCCACCCTGCCACTGTGACCTTCATGACTGTGAGTGCCTAGCAGGCTGCAGCAAGCAGACGCTGGCTGTAGCCCACCAGAACTGGTTGTTGCAGTGGCAGCTGGGAGGGAACAAGTGGCCTTGCCCTAGAGATGGGTGGGGCAGAGAGGTTCTGAGGTGGCACATGAAGAGGGGTTATAAATAACCTGCATATTGACAGGGGTCAGTAGGCAGTACAGGTTGTCAGA